GCCGAGCCGAGGCTCGTCCAGGGCCGGAGCTCCCGTCGCCGAGGCGCCGCCCGTCCTTCCGTAGACCGAGGACGCAGAGGGCTCGGGGACTGGGTCTCGGAACGGGTCCTCGCTCTCTTCTGCCGGTCGAGGCGTGCCCGTTGCAGATCTCGACCCGCCTGCTTGGGCTGGCGCTGCCAGATTGGCACCCTTGCCTTTGCCGTTGCTCCGCGTCGGTAGAGGCGGAGCTTCTTCTCCATAGGATGACACTTGCGGCACAGGCGGTCGGGTAAGGCCATTGATCTCTGGTGGGTTCGGGCTCGGGTTGTTTGACCGCTCGCCCAGGCCGAGATGTTTCCGCGCGTTCAGGACGGCGCGCTGGTGCTGGTTGAGCGCCTGCTGCAGCTGCTCGTTTGTGTCGATCAGGCTCTCCATTGTCTCGTTGTCCGGCGCCGGGTTCTCGGACGTCATGTAGCCTTGTATACTGCGTGAAGCGCTTGTACACCTGTCGGAGAACTCCTTGATCAAGTCGTTTGACAGGATCTCTGCCGGTGGCGTGCAGGCCACGACCTGGTGTAACAGCTTCGCTGACGTCCTCGCTTCTTCGAGCCGGTTGGCTAGCTCGATGGGGTCGGGCAGCCTCTTGCCGTTGTGACTCCTGGCAAAGTAATTCTGTGAATGTGGGTCGAATGGCGGTGCGTTCAGCGTTCGTGATTGGGGAGGCGCAGACGGTCGGTTCTGTCACCTATTAGTATCCTACATCTTAGATAGTCCTGGCTGTCACTCACGCCGCCGTAAGCCTTGTACGCCTTCTCCTTCTCCTTCTTCCACATCTCATTGATGAGGGCAAGGCCCTCGTCGTAGGCCTTGGTGGCCGCGAACGAGTCCAGCGTCTCCATGAGCATCTGCCGCACACTGAGGTCGCGGCCCGTTTTCAGCAGCTCCTTGGCCGTGTCGACAAACTTCTGGTCAATGTTGCGCGTAAACGTCTGCCCCGGGTTGTCCGCCAGGATCCGCATCAGCATGATGGCATTGTACTGGTACGACGGCTTGGTCCAGTACTCCTTCTTGAGGAACTTTCGGATGATGCGCGCGCACTCGGCGGCGGCGGCTGGTGACGACTCGGCGGCATCGACGATCGCGGGGAGAAAGGTGACTTCGTCGCCCTGGTAGGTGAGAAGAGCTGTGAGCAGTGTGTCTTGGTGATGGGGGTGGAGGCAGTGATGCCCGGGTAGGTCGGCAGCAGGAATGTCTGCATGTTTAGCTTGAACTTACAGTATTGTTGGGTCCACCCGACTCGCAAAATGCTCTCTATCGCAGATGTTAATCTCCATGTCTTGGATATTCCACGTGCGGTGGGATCGGAGACATCACTCACCACAGACCGCGCCGCGATAGCCTCAGGGGTTTCGCCTTGTGGATCTTGCTCTGCACCCTCCTGGCCTGTGGGCGCAAGTGACATCAGTCTCTGGGGGGTCAAACCAACTGCCGTGACAGCTATCTGCCATTCCGAGGCCATCTCAACTTACCATTTGTTGGTCTCCGCTTGATGCTGCCGAGCATCTTGCCCATTCCGAGCCCCTTCATTGCCTTCCTCTTGGGCGGCGTGGAGATCGGTCTCGATGCGCTTAAACGTGGGGCGGGAATGTCTCAGTGCAACAAAAACAAAAGGCGAGGACAAAGCTTGACGAAAACACTTCTCGAGAACGGCGGCGATGGGGGTATCAAAGGAGATGATCAGACGAGCAATATGCGAAAGGAACAGGGCTCTGGAAATGCAACAAAGTATCGTTTTGCTTTTTTGCAGAGGCGAGATATCCGTGGGGAGGTGTTTGGCTTTGTCTTCAAACAAAACAGAATCCCACTCTTCTCTTCCCCGTCTGCCTGCCACGGAGTTAGACGTCTGGGGCTAAGATTAGGTAGATAGGAGCTCCAAGGTACAGTAGGAGGTAGGGCCCTCGTTCGCCAATTGATCAGCAGGGTCGTCCTCTGAGTCGGCGGTCGGCGCGTCCTGTGGCGGTTTGGGGTCCGTTGACGTTGTTAGGCTCCACAGTGGCAGACGGCCCAGGCGAGCTAACAAGCTGGGGACGGTACGGTAGACCCGGAGTGCGACCGTTGGGGAGTCTCGAACGCTGAGTGGTTCTAGAACTGGAGCCGAGATGAGCTCTTTTTCTTCACTTGGTATTGATGCAAGTGAATCGCCGAACTAATATTGATCCGATTATCAATTCCCGATATCGATCATCCGAAAAGAGAAATGCCTATGAACGAGGCGGTAAGGCTTGTTTGACGCGCGCGTTGCATCGGCAGATATGCAGCACATTTAAGGATATCTCAGACACATTTGATGGCGGTGGAGTATCGCTGTGTCCGCCTCTGAAGTCAGTGCCAAGCGCAGGCCGGTTGCACAGCCGCACGACTACACGTAACCACACCGTCTGCGACCACGCAGCGGCAGAGTCGCGAGACCTGTCAAAGTGGACTCCCCGGACCCAGACATCGCCAATTGCCGAGTCACGGGATGGCCAGTTGTCGGCTCTAGCGCGCCAGACACTTACGCATCTCACGGTTGTCGTCCCATAGGAAGACAGCATGGCCGCCGGACACTGACTAAGGAGCAGAGAAAGGGTGGTGATGATCACGCCGGGCAGACTTCATCGAGCAATCTAGGAGGCCTCATATGAGATGCGAGATGTCTACGGACACTAGCCCTCTCTCCTATAGATTCATATGATCAAGAACATCAACAGTAGTTTCTTTCTAAAGAGGAATCAGATAAAGTTGAGATACTTACAAGACTTCTACATGTTGAGTAGGGCGGGAACACCCGCCTGTCTTGCCTTACGCCAGATAAGTCTTACAACTAACTCTTGAATGTTGTCACTGAAGGCGGGGGATGGATTACGGCCCAACCCTCGGTGCTACTTGATGACGATGAAATTTCTGCTTTTCTCCGGAGTTCAAGCAAATGCATGGCGTATAGACACAGGCCTCGTCAGTGATCTGAAAAGGTTGACCTTGGTCCAAAGTATTACGATAGCATTAGATCCTATCAGGCCTATTCTTCGTCCTCGACATCGTCGTCATCTTGAACTAGACGTTCGACAATGAGGTTTCCAGACCGTCCAATCTTCTCCCCCAGCGTGTCAGACTTGCTCGGCTCGTAAACTTCTCGAGGCATCACCGACGCGATGCGGAACTTGTACTCGTGCTCATACTTCTCGGGCGGTGTGACCTCCGTGCTTCCTTCTACACCCTCTAGATATTCGTAGCACTCAACAAACGCATAGAGATCCTCGACAGTCGCCGCACTCGCGAACCTCCGAACAACTCGGTCTTGGTCGGGCATCTTCAGAGCAAGGCGAACAACCTCCTTCACGCTCGTCGTCGGCTCAGGGGCAATCGTCGTTGCCCTCCACTTCCGCCACTGCTCTCGCTTCTGCTCCAAGAGAGCCGCCGCCTCAGCATCCTCGAGCGCCTTCTTCTCTGCCGCCGCCGCGGCCGCCTCGGCTTCGCGCTTCTGTCTCGCCCGTTCGCGGTCGCGCGCAAGTGACCGCTCATATGCGGTGTCTTGCTCAGAGCGCAGGTTCCGTGCCACCTCGTTCGCTGTCCTCTCCGCACGGACGCCATCTAGATCAGGGGCGTACTTGTTGATTGCTGTCTGAATACCGGCCAGGTAGGTCGATGCTGTCATGGGCCCGGCCAGTCGCTTGATGATCCCCATTCGAGTGCTTCCCTCTTTGGGCGTGAGGCAAACGAGGGCGGAGAAGGGGAACTTGGTACAATTGTACTCCAGTGACACCTGGTAGGCCTCGGAGTCTAGAATATTCCCTCCCCATATTACGATGTTGTTGGCAGGGTCATTGATGTAGCTCACGACGTCAGGCGACAGAAGTGTGTCCTTCACAAATGACTCAGTGTCATCGTGCTCAGGAGACATCAGGACGAGCAGAAGGAACTTGAGGTCCTTCTTGACGAGATCCTGAGCTTGCGCAAAGCCGCCCTCGAACCATGGTAGGCTATCGCTGCCATACTCCTCCTCGAACTCGCGCTTGAACCGAGCAGCAGAGTCTCTCGGCAACAGCATCTTTCGGCCGTTCGTGTTGCGCAGTCCTCTTGTTATTGAGTTGGTCACAGCCCGTGGCCGGAAGGGTCTTGGGAGGAAGGAGAAGATGAAGTATATGGACCGGAAGACGGTTGAGACGAGTCTGTATCCCAAGTTGTAGCCCATATTGAAAGGCGCAAATATGATGGCCAGAAGAAAAGGGGGCCGATAGGTGGCAGAAGGCTGTGGTACGATGCGCGGAGCAGGTTCTGTTCGCTGTCTCTGAGGGGACCTCACTGGGGCAGCACCCAGGAAGCTATCTTGTAAGGTATCATGTCTGGCAGCCATCCGCGGGATGTCGTTTTGCGCCGCCATAGCTTCAGCAACCGGATCGGGGCCCTCCCCATCAAAGAATTTCGCGATAGCAATCTAGGATGAAGTTGTTAGTGACTGACTGCCTGCCGTGTGATGCCAAAAATAAGCGACTAGAGAACCTACCTGGACATTCCATTGTGACCTCTGGAGGAGCGGGATCGCATCTTTAATCTCCTGGTTTGTGACCTGCGTATACTGCTGAAGGGCTTCCTGCTGGCTGGCAGACAGCTGTGCCAGGTCGAAGTCTCCGTCGCTCGCCATTCTAGCCCCCGCTTGAGTTCGTCTTATTTCCTTGAGCTGCTTGTTGTTCGCCTGGCCATGAAGAAGGTGCAGTCAGTAGGTGGGTTCGGCAAGCTGTCTAGCTGGTAGCTGCGTCGGGTTCTTTGCGTGTCAAAGGTGCGACAAGGCTCGCAGTGTGCACTGGCTAAGTAATAAAGGGCAGTTGTATTCAAATCAACGACCAAAAGATTCGAAGGCAAGGACCAGGACAAGCTCGTGAGTACTCGAGGTGTGCGGTTGCTGAGTTTCGAATGTCTGACAGCAGCTGCGGTGGGCAGGTGTCATAGGTGCTTTAGGTAAGCGGTAGCTTTGGTAGGCAGATGAGGTCACTGCCTGCCTGCCTATGGGCAGTGCGCAGGGCAGGATCGGCCCCCTACAACAGAAGCTATTCTTTCTCAACGCCTCAGTATCTTGGTGAGGCTGAAGAATTGGCAGGCAGTGTGCGATGAGGTTAATTAGAGTCGATATTGTAATGGGTATGTGTATGAATAGGGTGTGTGTCTGGGAGAGACTTTGCCATGTCGCACTACGTGGTCCTTTCGGGACTCAATCCGTAGCTTTGGCGTTACCACGTAACGCACCCTCCCGTCTACCGTATAGACTACGGCATACCCAGTTACTACCTGGGTAGGTATGCAGCCTGACAGACAAGAGGCGCCCGGCATAGGCAAGTACCCAGGTAGGTCGTTTGCGGAAAGGTGCTGGATTTACAGTGCACGCTAGTAGCTTCTGTTAAGCGGTACCTCCGATAAGAAACACCTGGGTGCGATAGTACAGAGATACAAGTAGCATCTTATCAGTTTCTCTAGCGCACCCCCCACCAAAAAGATGCTCCCTCCCCTGCAGCTGGCCGTCCCAGCGCAGTGCCGTGCAGCGCAGCGCAGCCCTGGAGGAGAGACATACAGCGTACTGAGTGAGCAGGTAGAGCCTGCCTCCTCGAGGCTGAGAGTCTGGGTGGGTGCTGGCGTCTAACGTTAATGGAAGCCCCCCCGTACACCTCCCGTCGATCCTGGTCCTCGCATTTGACTCCTTCCCCAACTTCATCCCCCATCCCGCTTTTCTCCCTTCCACGCCTCGGCTGCCCCCCAGGCCTTTCTTCCTCCTCCGACCACGTCAGTTTCCGCGACAGCGTGCAGCATTTGCCCAGTCTCCAAGCAAAGCCGATGGGCAAAGCGACTGCCCTAACGATTGAACCATGGGAAATGTTCACCAGAGCCAAGTAAGCAGCTGATCGGCCCTGACCTGCCCGCGAGACCTCAGCCCCCCACCATGTGCATGTGTTGCCCTTCTCCGGCACATACCTCCCCATCGGCGTGGATCGCGCCTGCTCAACCCGGGCCAGCCCTGATCTCGATTGATTCTTCATGTTCATCATGGTCTGCTTGGGTGCGATCCACGCCGATCTGACTGCTCACCTGTGTGTGCGTGTCTGTCTGTTGACCGGATTCTGACTCGCAATGTTGCTGTAGGCGTCGTGAAACTGGTCAAGGGGGCGCTGCGACCTTCAATTGACCATAGATACCTTTCCCATGATGGCGACCCAACCACGATTTCCCGCGACCGATTTACGGCGTCAAGTCGGGTCGCCGAGACCAAAGGGCAGAGGTATGTGGTGTCCCTGCCTTGCTTCCCGCGCCTCTGTCCCACCTTGCGCTGCTTCGCGGCTCGACGACGCTTGAGATGGCTGACTTGTTCTTTCCGAGCAGAGAATAACAAGGACACGCTCTGTCGCAATGTCCTCATCTATGGTCACTGCCGCTACGAAGACCAGGGCTGCACATTCAACCATGATCAGAACAAAAATAACAGCCAACCAGACTTGTAGGTGTTTCTTCTGTCAGCTTGTCCTATGCCCTCGTCTCTGCACCCAAAGACCCTCGATCGCATACACCCATCTGGATTCTCCGCCTCGATTCAGGATCAGCAGCTGGAACGATCAGGGAGGAATTGTGGACAGCCTACAGATTGGATTCGACTCTCGAGGACGCGCAATTCGACCCTCGATCATATCTCACGAGGTGTAACATAGCGCCGGAATCGATGCAATTGGACATCTCGCTTTTGGGAAAGATGATTGGAGCATGTCTGCAGGGCGATGTCGTGCGTTCTTGAATCAAGTGTCTGGATCTGAAAAAGACTTCGAATCGGAGTTAAGGCTCAACAAGGTGTCTTCAAGCTACCTCAAATCGGCATCTTGGCTTGGTCTGAGCTACACGATGCCTCAACCTCACTCGCGTTCCTTAGAAGCGATAACACCTCCTGGAGACGTGTCCCCTAGACCCTCTCGGTCGCCGCCGCCTCGCACCACTCCTCGTCAACAGGACATCTCTTGGTCGGACTTGACTAACTCTTCTCCCAGTTCCAAAAAGACATTAAACGTGGAGTCACCATCTTTTACCCCTTCAACTTTGCAACAACCTACCAAGAAATCTACCCTTTCGTCCCAGGCGGCGAGCGCTGCCGTTTTCACTCCAAGGGGCGCGGGAGGTGAGTTCATTCTAATGGAAGAGTTGTACCAGTCTCCCTCGCTTACAAGACTTCTCAGCCGCCACCCCAAATATACCGGCAGAACCGGAACAGCCAGCCTTCAATCCTGCCACGATCAGGGAGTTTACTCCCTCTAACTATGATCTGACCAACACAAATGGCGCCTCTTCTGACAGTGGTGTTTCTACTTTCGACCCCTTTGCCATGAGCACGGTTGGCCAGGCATTACCTGCTACACAATTCAACCCATATGCCAATGATCATGCAAGTCTGGCGGGAACTGGAGCCGCCTTTTACCAAGGCCAGGCTGGCTACACCGCACCACTCCAACCAGTGAGTTTGTTTGCGTCTTGGAGGGTTTACTGGCATCTGTACTGATATGGATCTTAGCTGCAATACCACCTTTACGCGCCGATTGGCCCGTACCGAGAAAGCCTCCTCCCATACCAGCGATTAGCTCATGACTTTTTCATGTCTGAGAAACTCCGCGAGGATTTGCAAAAGAAGTCCCATGCAGCTCTTCAGGTGATGCCAAGTAGGTGTCCCGGGTTTCTTGTTTAGAGTTGCATTAACCTCGTCAGATTTCCAATTGCCTCAGCTGGACAATTATCACACCCTCGTGCCCCTGGATACTTCTCAGCGCAAAAACGCAAACATTTTCGGCTTTCCTAGTTGGGTTTATAAGGCGACCTCAACTAAGTCGGGGAACATTTACTGTCTGAGGCGCCTTGAGGGTTACCGTTTAACCAATGAACATGCCATTCGATCCGTAAAAGAATGGAAGCGCATCAACAACGGCAACGTTGTCACTACTATAGACGCATTCACAACTAGAGCATTCGGAGACAGTTCGCTCGTATTCGCTCAGGACTACCATCCGCTTTCCAAGACGCTAGCTGAACAGCATTTTGCCGGTATACAAGGTGGTGGCCGGTTTAGGGCACCAGAGCGTGTTCAAGAAAGTGTTCTTTGGAGTTATATCGTGCAAATATCAAACGCGTTGAAAGCAATCCACCAAGCGAATTTAGCAGCTAGGTGTATCGACATCAGCAAGATTATTTTGACGGACAAGAATCGCATTCGACTCAATGCGTGCTCGATCCTCGATGTCGTCCAATTCGAAGCACGGCGGCCTATCCAGGAACTCCAGCAGGAAGACTTCCAGCAGTTTGGCAAGGTTATTCTCTGCCTTGCTACTAACACCCAACCCATGCATCTGAGCAACAATTTCAATGCTGCTGTAGAGCAGCTGTCCCGGAATTATACTGCAGAGTTGAAAGATACCGTCGCATGGCTTCTTACGGCTGTGCCGGCTGGCGGAAACCCGAAGCTTGTGGACGACTTGATCCGCGGGATTTCGCACCACATGGCCGCATCTTACGATATGATGCTCCATGCCAATGACTCTCTGACTTCAGAACTGTACCGAGAGCTAGAGAATGGGCGTATCGTGAGACTCATGATGAAGTTAGGGTCGATCAACGAGAGGCAGGAATATGATAATGACCCGGCGTGGTCGGAAAACGGCGAAAGATATATGTTGAAACTCTTCAGAGATTATGTGTTCCACCGCGTCGACGAAAACGGCAACCCAGTTGTCGACCTGGGCCACATGTTAAGAGCGTTGAATAAACTGGATGCTGCTAGCAATGAAAGCATCCGCCTTACGAGCCGGGACGGCGAGACAGACTTCATCGTCACGTATAAAGACCTGAGCAAGCAGGTGGCGAGTGCGTTTGGAGATCTTATGAAGCACAACCGGCAGGGCAGAGCGGCGTTTTGAGATATCAGTGAGGCATTAGAGGTTCCCTCATGTCATGTCAGGCGCGGCTCTTGAAGAACGGATATCCAATTGGGTATATGGACGTTTGGTTGGAGTACCAAGGCTGCGTGTGCTGTTAGGCAAACAAATCTTTGTGTGTTACTTTTGCGGCGCAGACTCGTGGGACCTGTACCGGGCTGACGTCGAGTGTCGCAATCTTTCGCGATGAGAGATGCTCTGCACGCGTCTCCGTTCTAGTATAGGACCCTGCAGTGTCATGCCAATGAGAAAGAGAGAGAAATATATGTTAATTCAACTATCATCAATAAATGCTCAAGGCAGAAGGGGTCAGGACTTGGTGGGACTATCAATGGCGTAGTAGTAAAAGTGTCACTCATGAGATCATCGGGATCTACAATAGACAGGATGAAGACGTATTTGGGGTATCAAAAGGCGATCTTATTTCCTAGTCTAACGCAACACGCCTGAGACAAACGATTTCCTTTTTATTGTCCCAACCACACATCTTTTAGCTTAACAAATCTGTATGCTGTATGCAAGCTCTCGTCTGTTGGCTATGAGCCTGAGAGCCTCCTCTGCATTTAATCCTGGCTCTGGTCTTAGCCTGGGAGTTATGTCGTTCAATCGAACGAAGGACGCTTACGTCCCTACTACGACGGAGGTGGCAGCGTCCGTATCGGCTTCATTTATCCGATACAGACATTTCAATCGGTATCTTCCTGAGCGAATGGATTCGCAATCTCTTCGCTTCCGTCCACGGGGCTGACGAGGACCAGGAGGGTGCCGCGGGCCACCACGAGGCCGAGGTCTCGAGTCGTCTCGTTTCCTTCGTCATCTACACACCGCACCGTCAGTCAGCCATGGGAGCCTCTCATTCAGGCAAAAAGGGGGACGGTCGTCGTACCGCGAAGCGTCTCCTTCACCTCGTCCAGCACCAGGTTCATCAGCGCATCGTAGCCCTTGAGCGTGCCGGTCACTGTCAAGGGGCGTCAGTCAGTCATTCCTATTTCCCGTCCCGAACTCCGTAGATGCCCGAGAGAGGGCCCAATTGGGGGGTTGTCCGGACTGACCTTCCCGCCCGCCGTTGAACTTGACGGTGATCTGCTTGTCCATGTACTTGGCCAGGTCGAGGATGTTCTCCTTCTTGGGACGCTCGCGCTCGCCGCCCGCTGCTCCTGGGCCCCCTCCGCCGCCGCCTCCTCCCCCCTGTGCGCCGCCGCGACCGCCCCCTCTGCCGCCGCGGTAGTTACCTCCTCGCCCGCCTCTGTGGCTGCCTCGGTCTGCCATCGTGCATGTAATGTGGTGGGTTTTTGAGGCGTTGAGGGTGGTGGTGGGGTGCTTGCGTTTGGAGGACAGGGTGGGGGTTAGGTAAGGCAAGGTAGCTAAGGGAGGTAGGGGCCCGGGGTGGAAAATTGAGGATCGCCTCGGCGCTCAAGTGCCGTGGTTCCGGGTATGTCTTAGCTTTGAGAAGCGGTCCATCACAGCGACTTCAGTGTGTCCTTTCTCAGTCGTAAAGACATGCATCAAAGGAAATACGACCATCTTCTTGGAACTGCCGCAGAGTAAATTGAGTATGTGTCATTATGTAGTTCCCGAATGTCACATGGGAAACTTTACAGGTCGTCCTCAAAGTGTTGCAGTTGCAGGTGCAAAAGTGGAGAGGAAATTGCCGACTTCAACAATCTGTAGCCTTCGGATTGACAGACCAACCAGGAACCCAGGATGTACAGATGGCAATATAGACAGGGCATGAACGGTTCTACAACCTGGAAACAGTACGCCAGATAGCCCAATATGCATAAACCTCTGCCGGGGTAATATTTGTTAATTATAAATAGCAAGATGGGCCTCGTTGCCGGTAAACCTGGACAGCCCGGCGCGTAGCAGAACTATCACCTTTACAAACACTTCAGCTTCAAATCCATTTCCCTCATTCTGTGTGCATATTTTAATCAACACAAATGGCGCCCCAAAGCACGCAAGAATTCGACACAGACAGTCTCGAGGCGAAGTTCCAGCGTATCTCACTCGCTAGTCTTGGGGAGGGCCCGCATCGCGATACCTTAGACCGGGCTATCAGAAACGTGCTATCAACTGACATCAGCGAGATTACTTTAGCGCAGATTGTTGACGGGCTCCCGCTATCCGAGGTAGAGAGAGACACCTACACTGGTCACGGTTACCTCTCTTGGGATCACCCTTTGAATCAGAAGCACAAACAACTCTGCCCCGGTGTACTAGAGAAAACGCGTCAGCTCTACTGTGACTTCGATGTTGATTCGCTTCGGATCAGCTCCAAAGTAAGCAGTCTCTAGTTGCTGCTCTCTCCGCGGCCACTGACGTCTATTGATTTTAGCTTCTTCATGAATACAGGATCTCCGCCCCAGGTTCGAGGACATTCCATATGAGACTGATAGAGCTAGTTGATGTAGCGATTCACCAGATTGCGGTTCAACTCTATGAGTTGGGCACCAGCTTACACAAAGATGACAGCATTGTTAGCTGGGAGCCACCCAGAGACCATCCCATATTCTGGATCTACAACCCCGATGGAGCGCCACCCACACTGTTCCAACACAGACAGTATCGCTACTACGACCAATATCCTGACGGGATTGCAGATGGTGTCGGGTACTGGGCCGAATCACGCATTTTTGGAGGTGTTGTCTTGTTTGACCGGCGAGAGCCTGGTTCCGCCGAGGACGTTGATGTACGTGACGCTACTTCACCGAGCACGTGAAGAAAGGAGAAGATTTACTTTGCTAACTGGTTCATCAGCCTGAAGGCGTATACTTACATCCGGAGCGTAGTAGGATGACCTACCGCATCTACCGGCTCCTAGATGGCCAGAAGCTAGAGCTCTTGCAATTTCTACTCTCTGAAGCTCCGCCCCCGGGGAGTTCGCCCTTACCCATCCTGGGGGATCAAAACAATCGCCGGCGGGTTGACCCGGAGGAGCCAGTCGAGATTACGGGCATTTACCGGGATTTGTGGGAGCGGAAGCCGTTGGGGAAAGACCAGCTGGATCGGCGGCTTAAAGACGTGATAGACAGGATAGATTTTCCGACCGATGAAGATTTAGAGCAGGCACAACAACGTGCTGCAATTAGAAGGGAAAGGATCAGGAGGGAAAGATTAGGACTTGAACAGTTTGAAGAATGAAACTTTTGTCACCAGAAAGCACGTGCTCAAGATTCTCGCCCGTCGTAGACAACTTACCTTGGAGACATCACGCCCTTCAGTCGTCCCTGTCCTTGATCACCGTCCAGCCCTTGACCATCATCTTCTAGGCCTCTTTCATCATGACTGGGTAGTATCGCGCTGAACCGATCAACGTGTTCACGGCTATGTCAGTTAGCCTACTGTCGGGATTTCAAAGCTTGGGAATGTCACTGTAAAAGAGGCTATTGATAGGGCTATCGGCTACAGGCGAAAGCCTTCCTAACTTAGCAAGCCAGCTTGTCTTATTGGTTTAGACAGTATTATCATACCTGTTGTCATTACCATTGCCGTCGCCGTTATCTTGGCCAAGGCCCAGCCACTATGACCATTTTCGTACTTTCTTGTCGGGGAGGACGGGTATGATCCACCTTTCCTATTGCTTCTTTGACATTTGCCCTGTTTTCCTTCTTCCTTCCCTGCTTCCTCCCATCTGTCCAGCTCCATAGCTGCCTGCGGAGCTCCTTGTTAAGGGTCAAACTGATCGAGTTTATAGAGAAGGCTTCACTGGAAAAGAGAAAAGAGACTTGACATTGGCAAGGCCCTAGAGCAATAAAATATGATTTGGATACCCTCCCGGTGACCTATGGCGTGTGTGTGTACCCAAATGTGCATCCGAAAGGAACGGCGGGGAAAGAGGGAGGATGGAGGACGACATGTAGTAGGCTCATATTGTCTCCTTGGGCATGCTCATACTCTATTTGAAGATTGTTGACGTACATACCTTCCACAGAATAAAAAACAATTACAGCGCGCTCTCGGCGGTAGTACCAGAGCTGCCGCCGTTACCGTTGACGATGATCCAAGTGATGACACAGGCAAAAACAAAGGCCATGAGGCAGAACAGCAGGAATAGCTGCACGTCCTCGATTGATCCGAAGACACGAACACCACAGAAGAAGCATCCGGGATAGTTGTTGCCAACGGCAGCAGGGCGGCGGTTTGTGCTCATGGCGGGAACGGGAGACTCCATCGGGATGCCGTCGCTGGAGTTGATGTTGACGTTGCCCATCTGAACTGCGTCCCGGTAGCTGGGAGGGGAAGGAAGCAAATTCTGAGCAGCTTTGTCGGGGGAGGCTGCGCGACGCGTTAGTAAATAGTCGTTTTCAGTGAAACGGACCTGATCAAAATCTGATCCGTCCTTCTCTCTAGTTGATGGGTGTCCATACCTTTAAGCGAGCAGCGTTCAGCGAGCGCTCGAGTAGAAATGCCTCTAGCGCTGTGATGCTGGTCGTAGCGCAGAAGTTGAGAGGAGGGTGTATCCGTGTCGCGGAAGCTGGTGGGGGAGGAGGAGGGAAGAGATGAGGATGTCGCCGGGGCGCCGACCTCCTCCTCCGTGATGGCAGGTTTGTTGGTCATGGCGGATCTATCTCATGCTTGTGTGCAGATGGTATCCGGGTCGAGATAGTCGTGGTCGCGAATCCGGGCCCAGGAGTTTTTGTTTTGTCTTTGTTGGAAGCTCCGGCAGCGCGACAACTTGAGGGCCCGTTTGGCCTGAGGTTTGCACTCACCAATGTGGCTACCATACCTTAGCTCACATGATTGCCTCCCATTGTGGCCCTACAGTTCAGAATTCTCTGTCAATAATGAGAAGACTGCACCATGGAATATATTTCCAGCTTCACAGAATATCGTCGGTTGTCGTAGAGTTGATCATGCCAACCAAGCCTTACGTAGAACAGGGAGAACCTTGATATAAAAGGTAAGGTACACGTCTCTCCTTATCCACCACACAACGAATGTTCAGCCATGCTCTGAGTTTGAGCGCGCTCTTATCCATCAACCCTATAATTATCAGATCAAGACCCGATGACAGCGACGGTTGAACATAACCGATACATAATTGAAAGACAGTCGGGCTCTACGCGCCAGACTTCCAGTGAGAGCTTCCCATTTATTTCCCATTCAAGCAACTTGTCTTCGTATCTGAGATATTTGCGGCGTATGGAATCCGGTAGTTGCCTTTAGTACTACACTCGGTTTTGTGCGCACGTTGACGATCAGGTTTCAAGTCACAATTTACATGAACCTCCCGATCTCGGTGCTGAAGCTTTATCTGCTAGACTTAAAAAGATCTTCCCATGTTCCTTCGTTGATAAGCCTGTCCTTTCCAATCGTATCCCTAGAGAGGTAATTGATATTCATCACACCTACTCACGAATGTATGAATACCCCATCCACTGTAAGCCCCTGAGAAATCCCCTCTTATCGTCTCTAGTAACGGAGAATCTTGTTCGCGTTTGGCTCCATACTTCATTGTCGTGTCGGCTGCCATCGATCGATTGCTATGTTCACAGCAGGCTGAAGTTATACCCTTCGAGGACTTCGTAAGCACCAGAAACATGGTGGTAGTGTTGTTAGTAGGAGGTAGGGGGCGACATGGGGAAGAGTCGCTCAGATAATTCAGGCGACTCGTGTGGTATTTTCATTCTGTCGGTGTTATGTCGGTGCCTGGGTTTCCCTTCGAGTAGGGCTTGCCCGGGTCGGTGCTTACAAGCTATCAGGTCATTAGGTCGTTCGTTATCTGAGGCCAAGTAGGAGGATTTGCCGCACAGAATCAGATCGACGAGCAGTTCAACCATCTTGCTGCTGGCACTGCTGATTGTGGTGATATTTAAGTATCGATTCAAACCGATAATTCGGTGCTTCAACTGAAACTGCGGAAGGGCATACCTGATCCTCCTCTTGTCCGTGATGTCGTATATCTTGTTGCCGGCGTTGTTGGTTGTCCTCTGCCTCATGCCAGCTGCTGTAGCTGACGGTGTGAGTTGATGTCGAACTAGAACCAGGATGATGAGACATGATGCTTGATTGGTCCAATTTGTTATTTCTGCGTCGTTTATTTCTTGTAATGTCAGTTTATATTTGAAGAGGATGTAAGGAGAGCGATATATGGTATACTGTGCATCATTTCTGTTAGAGTCTCTCCACAGCTGTCAGAGATCTCACGACTTACTACTGGAGAAGTTTGTTCCTGTCAGAAAAGCCTATATAAGTAAACATCAGAAAGAGGATTATTGATGAGAATGTTTTACTATAAATACTATAGATCTTAAAATTTTTTAAACTACTTTAGTTACTAGATTGGATTAAGCCTAGATTACTCTATTTACACGTAGGTGACCCCAGTTGTAAGGCAAAGCTCAGTAGGTAGGGAGAATTAGGTGAATTCTGCGATGAGGAAGAAAAGGAGAAGTGGAAGCTATCTCCAAGGCTACTGCTGAGGTAAGTAGGTGCCAACTGTTCTGCCAGCTGGTGCCTAGTGGCGCCAGGTGGCCTCACATGATCTCCACCAGACGCCTAAAGCTCCGACCCAGGCAGGCTGTAACAGCTAACTAATTTATCATTAAATATATAAGGCTAAGACTATTGTCTTTTCTAAAAATAAAAAGTATACTTATTAGGATAAAGATAGTATTAGGATAAAGATAGTATTAGGAACACCTTTCTAGTTCTTACTGTTACTGTTAGTGTTGTTAGTGTTGCTGCACCGCACCTGCTACTGCCACGGCTACTGTTACAACTCAGCTTTTCCCGCCGAGTTCTCATTGGCACGAAATAATTACCTACCGTTGCTGTCCCGGGTCGCACCTGCAGGCTTTTCGTCTTGGGACCCATCGTGCTCCGTTGACTTACTCATCCGCTGCAACCCGGCAGCACGGAAGAGCACTCTACTGGACGGAGGCACCGCACAGCAAGGAAACGGCACACACAGGGCGAGTCGAAAGACGGTGACACACTTGTCCGTGTTGCCTCACACACCACACCACACCACACCACACGGGCACCAATACCAGCACCCAGCAGCCAGGCCTGTACTAATCCGCCATTTCCCTTTCTCCTTTCCAGCCCCCAGCGGACCCCATCTTCTACTACGTACTTGCGGCCACTCTCGCCCTCAAATCCCGGGCGAGTCGCCGGCGGCGCTCGTCGAGCGAAGGGTTCGATTCATTCTATCCACGCCAGTCCAGTCAGCCCAGTCAGGCAAACAGTCGGAAGGGGACACGTCCAAGCAGATCTTAGGTACCTCGAGCAGGCACGGCTGCGTCAGTGATGCTCGCGGTGACCACGGCCAAACTGCGAAGAAAGAGGCAGGCTTGTATCTGCTGGAGTGCAGGTGGACTCGAGAGGGACTGGACGAACGAGATGGTCTCCTCCCAATTAGACTAGACAGACACTTCGCCCTCACTCAGTCACCTCAGTCTCTCAATCGCTCGCGCTCTCACTCCCTCCCCTACTGCCTGCCGTCTTCTCTCTTACTTCTCCTCTCCGGCCCTCCTCCCTCGCCTCCGTCCGCCGGGGGGGCCTTACAGACAAACCAAAGCCCGCCTTGCCTGCCAACCTACCTACCTACCTTTCTCCCCATTCCTTTCTCTCCCTCTCGCCGTTTCTCACCCACCTTTGAGAAGCATCGACAAATCTTCCGTCGCTCCGTTATCCCGGCCATTCATCTCGATCTCGATCTCTGAACTTGGTCCTGGATCTGCTCTGGTCTGCCCTACGTGCCCTGCACAGAGCTGCGTCTGCCCCGCCAATTCCAGAAGCCACCCACACCTACCAAACATCTAAGCCCCCTGGCAGGCAGGCGCCTGCCGTGCTTCCATGCGGGACAGGACGGGTACCGAATCTCGCGAGACGATTGGGCAATTGACAGGTCTCAAAACTTTTTATTTTCTAATCGTGTTCTGGACTGTTTCGATCTGTCTGGCTTGAGGACGACTCGGATCTTTTTGCTGTTCTTCGGGCGCTTTTTCGGCGGAGGAAAGCTGTAGACTCACGGAGCTGCCGCCCGCCAACCTGGAGTGAGTGAGGCAGCCAGTGTAACCATTGGCGGTGCTTGGGTGCTCGATTTATCCATCAGTCTTGCCTCGCCGGCAGCAATGGCACATATGCCTGAACCAGAGCCACATAAACGAAAGCGCGACTCCGACGACAGCGGTGGCCAGTCAAGTGTCCCAGACCGCATCCCGCAGCCTCCCCCGCCTCAATCAGGTAAGTTGACATGCGTCTCTTATCTCTTTTCAGATTCTTCGAGAGTGTTGGTTGTATACTGTATACTTGCTACTGTGCTGTACCTGCAAGCATCCGTCCCCAATCAAAAGCCGCGCGCCCGTGTGGTGATCGCCTCATAAGCGGCCCGATCCGCCCGGCGCCTTCTTTACTGCATTGTATTTCTGTACTTCTACGCCCCGATGCAACGTCGATCTCTTGTAGATGCTGGCGTCTCTCACAATCATATAATGCTATTGTCTGTGTTGCGCTCAATCTGTGTTCCCTGTTTGGTTGACATCGTGTTTTGTGCTACAACTCACTTTGATCGATCCGTGGACTAACATCTGGAAGGCACTGGCACACCCATCAATTATCTCTCGAAAGCCAACCCAGCCAGGCTGAAGCTTATTCAGGGCGATCCAGAGGTCTTTTCAGATGTCTTGACTCTGATCAGTGACTATGAAGGTAACTGAGAAATACACTCTCTCAATAGCCACCGTAATCCGCGAAAGTAGTTCTCGACTAACACATCAGTATAAGGAGTCCTCAGCAGACATGAAAGCCTGGCTGCTAACCTCGGTGCCAAGCTCACAGGGCCGCGACTGGTCAAGGCTATGGAAGGCGTCTTTGAAGGCCCCATTGTGACTTCGCCTCGAGACCCGTTCACCCCATGCCCTGTCGCTTGGCTCGATATCGTCCAATTTGCCAAGGCCAGTCCTAGTGACTTCACTCTGACATCAACATCGGACCGTGGGAGAGTTTGCCAATTTGACCTGAAGGGAGTAGGGGTGGAGATTACTGAAGATGACTGGCGTCTCATCATGTCTGGCGCATTGGACCGATTCCGTCTTGCGCCCCCTCATCCTTTAGAGGAAGACGAAAACGCTGAGCTTGCCACCTTGGAAATCCTAGAACAGCGGCTACAGGTGCTCATAAAGAAGGCGGATGAGGTGGCACGCAAAGCGAGACAGTTGAACTATCACCTAAGCGGACGAAAGGCGGCAATCAACTCTCGTCGCTCAACTCCTCAGTCCCAAGGCCCTGGGTTTCAGGCCGTCAACCAGCCACAGCAGCAACGAGGCCCAGGACCAACTCCCGGGTATGACCTTCGTGCCGACCTCCTCCAGCAATTTCTTGCCCATTCGTCCCATCCAGGGTCTTCTCGTGTTGCAGGCAGTGCTTCGATACCTACTACGCCAGTTATCCAACAAGCGCCCGGCACGACACGGCCACCATCACAGCAAGTACTCATGCAAAGCAGTCGGCCATCTCCGTCTGCCTATCCAGAGTCCTCACAGCGTAGTGAGCCCTCGGCTGAGGATCCTACGGCAGCCCATCGACCCCTGATCACAGCGAGAATCGAGAAGCTTTCGCGAGGGGAAACGATACATCCCCCATGTGACCGATGCCGTAGGTTAAGGGTGGCTTGTATAAAACACCTGACAGCGTGTCAAGGATGCACGAAAAAGCACGCCAAATGCGGCTGGAGATCTGTGACTGATGAGGAGATAGCTTGGCTGAAAGGTGAAATGGGACCCCTGAGCGAAGGAGAAGGAGGTGGTGATGGTGATGGTGGCAGTGCCAGAGGGTACACGCCTGACACAGGTCAAAGTGATCCGCGAGGACTAGGTGATTATGGCAGCAGCAGCAGGACGCCGGAGACGCGCCACGAAGGGAGGTTTCCCGCGCTGAGAGACCCGGCTGCTTCAGCAAGGAGAGATTTGGAGATGCTAAGCAGGGCTGGCGCAGGACCCGGCGGGGAGCCGGAAGCAATGGAATTGGACTATGATACCCGAGGACAACAGCGAGGCAAGGAGGTGGAGGGGAGCAGCAGCAGCCGAGGTGGCGCGCGAGGAGGCCATCCTTTCCCGAGAGAAGCTCTACGTCTGAGTCGCGTGGCGTCGGCGGCTACGGCTGCTGCAGAGGCGAGGGGTCCTCGCGTGGCTGTTTCGCGGGGGAGCAGTGCCGGACAAGAGTGATCATGGCTGACGGGTGAAGGAGGAAGGCAGTTGCACAATACTGTATTTGTATGTATGGTTCGGGATGCTACGTAACTGCAACCATCTTCCATTGTACACAAGTCTAGGAGAGATGGAGTACATAGGTGTAAATCGACATCGATGAACACAACACTAAAGTACCTTTTAAGCGATTGTTGGGAAGAGCAATGCTATCAAGTCATCCAGTGAGGTGAAGAGTCGAAGTCCTTCACCTGATTTCAGGAATCGATTGCTGGGCCAAACGGCATCGTTGTGTTTCGCGTTCATGATGATAGCAGCCATCAAAATGCTTACCTGAAAACTTCCTCCGTATTGGTGATCTTCGATGAGTGACGTGGTGGAGCAAACACATCATCTACATAATCGTCCTAGCCGGTTATCTGAGCCACCCTACCCATTGTCTTGGTGTTTGCGTCGAGGAAGAACACACATTCGAAGTTGCGCCATGCTTTTCAGACTGGGAAGGTGCCACTTAAGAACCATCATTTTCCAGTCCTGGCCGACGGTGGGCAGGCACTTCGCTTACATAGATGTCGCTTACATAGATGTCACTACTTCCTGTCGCTTCAAGCAAACCGTTGTGCCTTCCTTCTACGCATTGTTTACTGATTCAACTAGCAACGCATTCTTCCAGCCCCAAATCCCCCGTTCCTTTGTGTTCTCTTCTCTTCAACTTATCAACATCCATCGTGTCATATCTTTCCTCCACTTTTTGGGTAGTTGACACTTCAATTTACGGAATCATTCAATACAAAGCCGCATCATCAGAACCAATACAGAGCTATCCTATCCAGCATGGCCTCCGCTGAAATCACCGAGGTGCAGGAGCAGCTCAGCGACGCGGTCACCCACCTCGTCAGAGTGATCGATCACGACGAGATGTGGGGGATCAACCTCCGTGGTAAAGACTGCCACAATATCCCCTACCGCATCGTCATGGAGAAGTTCCTACGTGCCAATAAGCACGACCTTGCCAGCACCGCGGCACACTTCGAGAAGGTCCTACGCTGGCGTAAGCAGGTCGATCCCCGTAGGGCGCTGTTGGCTGTCTACAAGCCCGAGCAGTTCAGAGGCAGGGGCAACATCTCCAATCATATCCGCGCTGCTAAGCCGGATTTGTTCATCACTTGGAACAGATATGGTTATGGTGGTCCGCCGACTGATACGTTCCGCGATGTCATGGCGTGAGTTGTTCCTCCTTACTGTCCTGGTCTTGTCCCACGTATTTCTATACTGTAATGACTCTGCCTGTCCGCCCCGGAGAATTTGCTAAAACAAGGTCCAGGTTCCTCCAATACCGTGTGGCTCTGATGGAGGCCGGAATTGAGATGATGGGAATTGCTCATGCTGTCAACATGATCCCTCCGAATGGACCTGACCCGTACCGTATGATCCAGGTCTACGACTGCAAGGACGTGAGCTTCTAGGACTCGAACATGTCCAACATCATACAGCAGCAATGCGAAATCTTCTCGCAAAACTATCCCGAGCTGATGGACCGCACTATTCTTGTCAACACTCCAGTCATGTTCTCACTCATCTACCCTCAGATCAAGAAACACTTCAAAAAATCGGGGACAGGTGCCAAATTCACCACTGTTTCAGCTCCAGACAAATTGGGTGAGCTGTTGGCCAGTGAGTGTGCTGTACCCATTGGATCTGTCCCCGAGGAGTACGGTGGCCACCAGCCTAAGGTGTTTGATTACGAACCGTTGAGCTTTGCACCTCAATCGGCCCCAAGATCGAGTGATCCATTACCACGGAAGAAGAAAGGCATCTTGAAGAACTGGAAGTCCAATGTGGCAGCAGGAACCACCCAGGATCACGATGACGGACACGTCCATGATAGCCCGGTGGGAGAGAACGGCAAGAAGAAGCGATTCGGCACTGTCCGGTCCATGTTATCAGTGAAATCCAAAGGCACTAAAGCCGATGACTCCCCCGCGGACGAGAGCAGGATTACACCCTCAGGTGAAGCAACGGAGGTGGCCAGCCAGCCCACCATGACACCTGCATCGGCTGGAAACAACGAGACTACCTTGCCCGAGATCGCTATAAACGCAGACAACAGCTGTGCGGTCGAGTCTACTCCTACCGAAGCTCGTCGCCAGTCACTCATTGATGGTGCTCCTGCGGCCGCATCTTCTGGTGAGATCACTGTGATGGCCGCACCCCAAGCTGCGAGTGGCGAACAGCAAGTTGCAGGCCCACCGGGTAAGGAGATCCCATCCCAAGTCTCAAATGGTCACAAAACATTGAACGGGCTAGCTTAGACTACCTCACGGCGAGGTTCAGGTATAGCTAGGAGTGATTCTGAAATGTTAGCTGGTCGGTGTCGGGGGATCAGACCTCACCATTTGAAGGTTGTCGTTGCACATATACCCCTTTTCCCTTGTTAGCCTTGAGAAAGCTTGAGACTCTCGTTGTTATCAGTTGTTCATGATGAAAGGAGGTGGACGGGTTGACGAATGAATACAATTAGTATCGTGTACCATAGAGACTAGAGAAGTAATACGTCTTTCGAGGACGGATTTACCCTTGCTTCTCCGAGTGGTCAAGGCTTGAATCTCGTGCTGCGCCTGCTTACGCTGCCAACCTGTACAGTACAAGTCACAAATCAGCACTTTGGTGCCCTCGACAGGTGAAAAATGGAGATGCTGAACGAGGGATGCCAGGGGCTGACTAGTAGCGTGGCCGAGCGCTCGCCACTTTGCAGGAAGTAGTCTAGGCCAGCAGGATCGAGATATCGCACCGGACACTCGGAGTGTGATCTACAGTTCGGCGTCGAAACGAGCTTCGCCTAAGCTCATAGAAACAAGGCACGCGCCGACTAAGTTATCAACGAGTGTCTGCTAGCACCCCGCTGATAAAAAGAGCAAGATTAGATTTCAAGATCTCGATACCTAAACGGCGGCTCACAACAACGAATTTCCGACGATCTCGCGAATGATTCAATTTTCTCCAGTTGCCAGGTAAGACCGCTTCATCAAGGGTCTCATTAGGACAGGTTCGGATGTGTAAATTTGCACTTTTGTGGGAGTGAAGAAGATGACGTGTCATCACCGACTTCTCAATTACTGAGAGTGCAGAACGGTGAGCCACATCGTTGATATCAATATTCACATGGTTTCCACTATTTGCCATGACGGTATATCTGAAGTGACGATATTTGGAGATGCCGACTCATCAGACGGAAAGTCCTTATCCCTGAGGGAGAATGGACTCGCTGAGACCCGGTTGGGTATTTGCTTTTGTGGATGGCAAAAGGAGAAGTCTTCCCCCTCGTTTCGCTCTAGACTCCAGACTACAATAGATTGCATTACCTGGTCTACTTACCTTCAAGATTACGGGTGTTCCCTCTCCCTCCCTCCCTCGCTCCCTGCCGTCCGCCTGTCCTTCCAACCATCCATCCATCCACACACATCCACTTACCACTCACACACGGACAACCCAGACCAGACAGACACCTTACCCAAAGTTGTCATGCACCACCAGGAGTCTGGGTCTCCCCTTAACGGCCCCACGGGAAATAACCTCGCCGCAATCCAGGAGCACGCACCGAAATGGGCAAATCACGTCAAAGGACCGCGATAACAGTACGTTTACGCCGACTCATCGTCGACTGCAGTAAAACCTTCTCTCGTGCATGCATGCACCTAGACTGAGTTTAACCTTCTACATGTATAAACGCGAACAATAGCGAAGTACAATAGAGGAATAGCAACACTCAGCACACTTATTGTTTCTTCTAATATGGCTGCACAACCATGCCTGGTTTAAGCAATGTGCTGAATGGCTAGGACACGCGATTGTAGACAATAAAGACAATAGCAAACGCGCTTCTCCCAACCGTAGGCAGGCAGAGTTGCAACACATAAGAGTGAGAATGGGCCGCGGCCAATGTGAATAGGTCGGTCTAGGTCTGGCAATGAATGGCCTGCGCCGTTTGTTTTGCTCTTTTCGAAGAGGTAGTCCCCCCGGCATAAGGGCCGAGTAATAGGCCTCAGTCAGTCTGTCTGTCTGTCAGTCTTACTTATTAGTAGTAACATTGGCTTAGGATTGTGCTTGTATGTATGTATGTATGTATG